GGCGGCCTCTCAGAAGGGCCGGGCCCCTCGGGCATCCGTCCTGCCTGCTGCGGAAAGGTGGCGGCGGGCTGTTAGCGAGCGGCGGTGCCTTCTGCCCCCAGCGACGGGCTCCGAGGATGGCGGGGAGCCCTTCCGTGACACCGCTTCTTCCGGGCCCTGAGCAGGCGGCAGAGCGTCACCCTCCCACGGAAAACGGTGTCATAGGAAGCCCCGGGCCGCGCAGCCCTTCCCGCAAGGCGGGACGGAAAGAGGCCCGAGAGGGGCCACGCGTGGGGCCAGCACGGAGCCATCCGGGCTGCGAAACTCCCGAGGGCGGAGAGGTGCGAAGCGTCCGCGGGGGCCACGGCAGCTGCCCACAGGCCAGGCTGGGGGGGAAACGGCCTCACAGGACCAGGGCTTAATGCACAGGACTGAGCTGCGCACTGCGGTACATGGAGTGGGGTGGGGAGGCCGCAGGCAGTGCAACACCATAAAGATGAAATATCAGCGTTACCAGGCCTAGTGCTGCTGAAGGCATCTGGGAGGGTTGGGTCTTGTGACAAGGCCTGAACATCAGTGTCTGATGTAGAGACATGGAGAAGGAACACCAAAGAGAACAAGAAGATTGTTTGTTAAATAATGGGAAGTGTAGTCCAAACAGCAGGAGAATCTATATGACATGGAGATCTCAGCTTCTGAAATCACATCCTTGGGGAAATTGGTGGAAACCTACACCTGCATGTTGTACAGCGAGGCCAGTCAAAAAGAACACTGTCCTGTTAGAGGACAATCTTAATTGCCAAGGAGAACAATTGCGTGATCAGGGAGGACCTGTCTGACTGTAATTTGAGTGGCTCTACCCACTTTAGTGCTTTGCTGAGCCACACTCCCATCAATATGCTTGTACCCACATCCCTGAATACTGCCCATTCCTTAAAACTCTGCTATAAAACTACAGTTCCCTATTGTCTCCTTTAAAATATGTCCAATCTCACACATTCATTAAAGTCTTTATTTTTGTGATGGGAGCAAGGCAGTTACTGAACATCACAGTTGCACTATTACATGTATTTACAGTTTCATCAATCAAAATGTATTTTGACAGCCGTTGGGCAGCAGCATGGAGAGTAGCAGCTGCAGCGCCTGCTCCAGCTCCACCCCGTGCCTGTTAGATGAAGTATTTCCTGCCCTGTCTTACAGTATTTCATCTGTAAAATGGCGCTAATGATTTTAAAATATTTTGAGCTCCACCGCTGAAAAATACATGCAAAAACTGCATGTCATTTTTGTCTGTCATTTCCTGTCACCATAACTTAATGTACTCAGCCCGTTACGAGGGAAATTGAGATAGGAATACTGTTTCATTTAATAAAAGGAATTAGGGGGGTTTATTCTGGTTTGAGAGCCTGGAAATCAAAAAGGAAATCTGTGCTCTGCCATAAGGGCAAAGTATTTGTTCAAAAAGATACATTTTAAAAAACTGAGTTATGTACTTCCTGGGCATTTATAATGCCTAGAAACGGTAGCATTAATATAAAAAATCCATTGCCTTAATTCCATCTCTGACAGTTTTTGTCCTACATACATAGCCCTGTGCTTTGTGAAATTTGGCAGGTCATTCGTTAACTCCATTGTGGTTCCCAAGCAAGAGAATGGATTTGCCTGGGGTAAATGAAACTGAGACTGGCCAGAATCATCACAGCCAACTGCAGAGGGTGGCCACTCTATAAAAGTGGTCTAGATGTTTTCTCAGCCCAAGAAAGGTCATGGCTAAGCACTTCTGCAGCTCCTTGGGGCTCTGAGGCAGGGCCACAATTAGTTCCAGCACAGTGACTGACAGTCATCAAGTGACACTGGGTCTACCCCACATTCCCCCCACCCCCCCACACACCCCAAAAGCCAGGGTTGTAATGTGTTTTTCCATGACAGTGACTCATCCTGCCCATCCTGCATGATGCTCTTGCAGTCATGTGAAGGACTGTCACAGCTATATGGCACTCTAGGAAGAGCCAGAAGACAAATTATGATTCAGAATAAAACTGCCTTAGGGTTAGGAAGATCCTGGACTTTTTTTTTTTTTTTTTTTCAGGACATGCCTTATTTCTGCAAGCCTTTAAACAACTTCATCTCTATTGACAAACATACTTAAGCGGCTCCCTTCTGAATTCTCCGGGATAGCTGCCACCATGTGACCGCACAATGGGGCAATTGCTAATGGAGAAAGGGCCTGGGGGAGGTATTATAATCTCCCTGCCTCCCAGTAAAGCAGTGCCTGCTCATTCTCTTCACATTTCCTTCCATATCAGGGTCTTCTCCCCCTCGCAAATCACCAAGGGCCTGACCCTCACCACACACTGTCACACTGCCGAAGGCTGGTGCATGCTGCAGCAGCCATGTTCCAAACAGCCAGGACTGTTGCCAGTAGCACAGGGCCATCAGACCCAGCTTGCCATGGGTGGGCAGAGTGGAGAGATAACTGTGAGACTTAGGGCAGGTGTCTAACTTGAGTGTCACAGGGCAATATTTAGTACTCCATTTTATGGCTGCTGCATTCTATCCCTGCTCACAGGGATAACTCCAGACCCTACTGTTTTTTACCCCTTTCTCTCTTTGAGGAAATGTTATGAGTAGGTTATGCCTTTCTGAATCCTAATGTAAAAAAAAAAAATAAATATTCAACTGTCATTTAAACAGAACTAAGAAACAAGAGGGTATAGTAACAGCTTCAGGCCCTGTAGGAGAAGACTGATGGATGGGAGGCGTGGATGTGTTGTGATCATTGTATTATACTGTGGATCTTATTATTTACAATGGTTGTTCATGATTCTTTTTGTCCTTTCTGGTATGTGTCCTGTTGGCCATGAAATTCTGTTTTGTGGGAAACCTTGTGACAGACACTTGAGAACCTTTGGTCACTGGAAGGTATTTCCCAAGGTCTCCTTGGAATGTTCTGTGTCTGCAATCAGCTGATGAAAATACTGTCTATATTTCTGCAGCCACAGGTGATTAGGAATTGCTCCCACAGCATAATTTAAACCTATTAAGCTTCTCTTTGGAAATGGTCAAGTAAATAGCATGAGACCCTTGCCTATTTGATTTTATATGACTGAACAAGATCTGCTTCATTTGTGCTTTGTCAGGGCAACAAAACTTGGGTCCATATAGAAAGTGTAACTTACACTCATGCTGTGTGTCTGGGTTCAACTTGGCTGTTTCCTGAATTGCAAAAGGCAGCAGTTTCTCTGTTACCTTGAACTCTGGGTAGGCACAGACTTTTTGGGGACGAAGAATGGGAGCCTTCAAACAATGTAAATGGCCTAGAGTCCAGTAGTGTTAAAAGGTCAGTTTCAATCTTCTCACAACCTTGCCACTATCTCTTCACCATAACTGATATAAAGTGAAAGTTTCTGTTTGTTCTGGGATCTGCTATTGCTTAGCTTACCTTGCAGCAGAACATACTAAGGCCTCATTCACTCACATTATAACTTATATATTACTAGCCAGTTGGAAAATGATGACAGATTTGCATCCTGTTCTGCTCCGTTTAGGAGCTGATGTTCACTGACTTGCAATAACCATATATTTGCATAGTGCCTTTAACTCCAAAACATTTTAGTTTTACATGACCTACAGGTGGTCATTTCTATCAGTCTTGAAGTGCAGTGACTTCAGGGTTGGAATGTGGTAGCCAGCTACCAGTACACACTATATAATAGTGTATTGTGTGAATATCTTAGCCATATGAACTGCAAACAGAATTTGAGCAGGCAGGTATTTGATTCAGAAACCAGGCTAACTTCCCTAAGCCTTACTGTTGCTACAAGATATTCAATACCCATAAATAAACAAGCCCCGAGTTCACCCCTCTTTTGCAGAGCAGTCTTCCCTCCAGTGTTGTGCTGGAGTGGAGCTTCACTGCAACAGACACCTCGAGGTTCATGCTGAGCACCTCCAGCAACAACCTCCAAGCATCTGACCCTCCAAGGTGCCGCTGAGCCTGTCCCCACACAATGGGGATACAGCTGTCTGCCTGCCAGAGTTAATGAGCGTAGAGGGTAGGCCTTCAGTTATGGTTTTTTCAGCCATATTTCTCAAAGAGATTTACAGATAAAGCAGGTATTCTGCTCCTCATTTTATACAGAAGGAGGCTGGAGGCTAAAATGCAAAGAAATTAAGCAACATTGAAGATTACATAGCAAATAATCGGCAGAGCTCAGAATCAAGCTTAGCTCCCCACCCCCACATCCCTCTACCACTTTGTGCATCTAACAAGGCAAAACTTAGAATCCACCATTTCTTAACTTTCATGCTAAAGAAGCAGATCTGCTACAGCTTTCTGTTTGACTTTGGCTTTGCATCAAACCAAACTGAATGTGTGCTCTTACACTTACTACCACCCTAAGGAGGTACTTTTGTGTGTGAGTGCCATAGAAATTAAGGTTTAAGCTAGAGTTTAGCAGGATCAGTTTTTCTGATACAAGACTGAAACCCAGGTCTTGTAAAAAAGGACAGGGGAGGAGGGAAAGAAATCCAATGGTCACTTCCCTCCTCTTGCTATATGGTCCCTGTCCAGTAGGAACAACTGGCTCCAACCAGGCTGCCAGAGGTCAAGTGTTGAGACAAAAGGCCAAAAATCGTCTTTTTTCCATCCAGACAACATATTAGGTGGAAAAAGAAGGACATATCCAGGGACACCCAGATGAATAGTATCCCTAACAATGCCAACTTTTCTGCTCCCAAAGTTGTTTACCCCCACAAAATTGATTGTGGTGCCAAACTGCAAGGAGAGTTGCGACTCCTGTAAATGTGTGGTCTTTATTGGAAAGGCCAAATGAAATAATTTTGAATTATTAGACATATTAACAGTGCCTGAGGGTGTCATATACAAATAGCTGACACATTTAAGTACTGATGCAATAAGGATGGACAAGAACATGAGGTGAGGGTGGTGGGAGGAAAGGTCTTTTTTAGATGTATCCAAGGTAGAGTAAGTTTTATTACTGGGCTAGAAACATATAGTATCCCAGGAGTGAATAGCTCACACATTTGATCTAATCTTGGGCTCAGTCCAGCTCCCACTGAAGTTTAATGGGAGTTGGATCAGGCCACTGCACTCACATTTTTTCCATGCATGGAAAACTATTTCCTTTACTTTGAATTACAATACCACTGGCTTTGGATTTTATATAATAAAATAAATCTAGGCCACTGTTTATATTCCAAGAAACTGCATTCTGGGATGCCAGCAAATATATTGCCTGTTGGATTAAAAAAAATAAAATAAAAACTGGACACACTGGTTTAAAAAAACAACAGCTCCTAATTATTAAACATAATTTTTCTTGCTTGTGCTTTTCTGGAGTCCTCAAATATTTGAAGTATGAAAGGTACATATAAATTCTTCTCCGGTGGTTGAAATGGTGGAATCTGTAGAGCTGCAATGCTTTATAAGAAACAGAGGTTTAATATAAAAATAATAATCTTCATGACTGGCTTTTTGCTTATTGTCATATTTTGCACATTTTAAAATTTACAGTAGAAAAACCCAAACAACACCCTGGGAATGTCAGTAACAAAGGGGATGTATATTAGCAAACCCTTGTATTTTGGGGACTGCTTCTCTTGATTGTTCTGACTGCAAATGAACTCTGCAGATGCTGCGGCACAGGAAATGTCTTGTGCTAGGAGCAGCATTTGTTCTCTGCTTTATGAATTGGATTCTACTAAAATCCCAGTGTGGTAAGACTGATTAGCAGACTTTGGTAATGCCTTCTGCCCTAGTACAATTTTATTATACTCTTTTATTACCAATGAAAAACACAGAAAATACTTCCATTGGTGAATATACGCCCACATTCTGTGAGCTTATGTATCTGTGGTTAGTTTATGCTGGGGAAGAGCATGGTCCCTAGACTCTGAAATACTGAGCAGCAAAATAAGACACCCCACCAAAAGAATAAAACAAAGACACACATATACACAATCAACAGAGGGGAAGAAATGTCATTGAGGGGTGTTTAATGTCAAAGAGAAACTATACATCTGGGATGGTGGTGAGGAGGATTTAATAGAGCTGAACAAGGTGACCACCTGCATCCACTTCAAAGAGGAAAACCAGCAGCGGTACGAGGAGTGCTTATGCAGTCAGGTGCACATGTGTGCATGCAATGCTTCTTTCTACTGATAAAATATGTAGTATATTGCCTATGAAGTATATTGCTTTTGCAAACATCCCTAGGCACCGGCAGCTTCTCCTCTATACTGACAAACTAAATTTCATCATGGGATTAAGAGCAAAAGAAAAACAATCACCTTCATGCACATAGCCCTGTAGTCCGAGCTGGACAGATTTCCCCTTTGCCCAGGCAGTACAGAAGAGCTAGGCGCTGGCTTCATGGGGACTCCCAGGCTGTGTGCTGGTCAGCCACAGGTCACACCTTCCTTCCTCACAACAGCAGGTTGTAAACCTTCCTCCACCACACTGTGGTCTGTGCAGCATCCAGGAATAGTTTACAGGACTCTGGATTTTAAGCCGTATTCTTGTAGAGGAGCCTTGGCTAACTTTCTCTCTTAATGTGACAAAGCCCTTTAGAGGGACCAAGAATTGATTCCAGATTCCCCAGTGGGTTTAGTGGGGTGGCAGGATTTGAAACTCAGGTAACCAGGACTTGCCCACATCTGGCAGTAATTTCAGATGTGCAATAACTGTGCAAAATGCTGAGATTTACCGATGAGAGAGTAGAAGGAACCCACTCTTGTCCTTCTCATTGGCCTTGTTTCTGTAATGAAATAGTATGTGCTTGTGTGCGGGGGGAGTTCATTTTGTCAGCACCTCCTCAGCCTCTTCAACTTGACTGAAACATCCAAGGGGAGATGAACCCAAAGACAAACTCCCCAGCAGAACTGAAGGAATGGCAAACCAGCTGGCCTGATGGGGGAAATTTCAAAACCAAAATGTCTCTTAAATAAGCTTCTTTAATTATTATCATCATCTGTTTATTTATACAAATATAAAATATATTTATATAGATTTATATAATATAGATTTGTTGCTTTGGTGGCTCCTTTCATTTACAGACGTACTGGTCAACGATCTCTGTGCACTTTTTACACTTGACGTAACAGCACCAATGGAACTTGCAGTGGCAACGCTCCACCTGGACACTCTTGAACTGGTCATAACCCCGTCCGCAGCACATCAGCTCACACCCATCCATGCCCTCTGAGGTCTTGTTGCACAGTCGGCCCTGGGTGCCCAGAGAGCCCGTGGTCTCATTGCGCAGGCAATAGTCCGGGCTGGGGTCGACGTAAACTAGGTCCTCTTGTGTCGGCATGTTGAAACGGTTGTTCACCAGCTCCAGCTTGCCCTTGCGACTGATCCTCATAGCAGCAGCGCTGTCGTACTTCTCCTTCAGCAGGTCGCCCACCTTGCGGAAGTCAGCCAGCTGCAGCCAGCAGGTCTTGAGGCTGCAGGAGCCTGACACACCATGACACTTGCAGGCCACGTCTGCCAGCTTGTACACGGCCTGCAGGAAAAGAAATACAATCAGGCAAAGCTGTGTTAATTCCTGCTGCACTGGCAGCTGGTTTAATTACAATGAATTCATCACGCTTTCATAACTGCTTTGATTATCCCACAATTTCTGTTGTTTCGCCCTTCAGAAGAGACAAAAGTCTCCTCTTCCTCCTGTCGCGATTGCTGCGTTCCTGTCCCTAAATATTTCTATTTCTGGTCACATTGCCTCCAAACATGACTTTGTCACCACACTTTCTTATCCTCTGGCAGATTTCTGACTTGACAGCAGGATCAAGACCAGGAGAGAAGAGTCCTCTCCACGTGGACTCTGGAAATTCCCCCAGTCTCATGGACCACCGGTAGTATTGCATGTTTTTCCCTTCAGAGCTGTGAAAAGGGAAGACCTGGAAACACGCCCATTTCCTACCACCTGCACCAGGAACTGACAGGGATACATCTGCATCCTTTTGAAATGAATCCATGGACCCACACCCTTTCCCTCCATCTCTGCCGAGAGGAACTCATTCAGGGGCAGTGTCCAAAGAAGTCATTGCTTTCCGGAGAGGAGCAAGCAGGGGTGGCATGGTGATGAAAAAGATGAACACCTCTACCCTGGAACAGAGCAGCTCACCTCTGCTCGAGGTGTTACCAGGCGCCCTCCTTGAAGAGCAGGGCTAAGCTTCAAGCCCTAACTGCAAACCTGCGCCATCTTGTGTCCAGACATTTCCCTGCACCAACAGGACTGTGGCCACGCAGAAGGGCCCATGATTTAAACAGCAAATGCAAGCTCTCAGGCCTGTCTTCTCCGAGATAATATCAGCTATGTTTTCAGGAGTCTGCGAGGGCTGCAGATGCATCATACCTCTGAAAATCGTCATCCAAATTAACAAATAGTCTTGAAAATTCAATTCAGTGAGCTTTAAGTCCTGAGCAGAGCAAGTACATGATGTAAAGGATAATAGTGGTCACTTTCCTCCTCCCCACACTAGCTGGGAGAAGAGAGAAATATTGAAAAATATTCTAGAATAACAAAGTTCAAAATAAACTGACAATGCAGGTTGCGTTTGCTCTTTCCATTCGTTTCAAAGACAGGTACAAAACTGCATGCTACATGAGATCCTGTCATCACACAGGCGCTGAGAGAGTTTGCAGTAAAAAGACCTGGCATCCCCACACGATCAGTAACCCTGTGTTACAGCAGCTTACCCCCCCAGCCCTTGCTCCTCATGCTCTCACCATCAGGCTCACATCTCCCATGACCATCCTGCACGTTAGCAGGGCAGTACCCCTGCCAGCTACAATGTACCAAGCAGAGCTGTTTGACATTCGCTGCCAAATTACCATCAACGAATGTGTGAAAAAACGAGGATGTTCTGAAGGAGATGGCTGTATGTCTTCTAACCAGGTTTACTGCTGAAGAAAGCAGCCAAACACTGAAGTTTCTTTCTGTCTCACTCACCAACACTAAAGAAAGCTCCCCAGCTCTCTGCATTCGCTTGCCAAGGAGTAGATGATTAAGGCAATTGACCATACTGCAAGCAAAACCTTCTGCCCATGACTACATCCTGGACCAGCAGTGAGAGGTCACAACTGGTTGCTCCTGGTCTAACTAATGTCTAGTGCTTTTGACAGCTAGTGAAGATCCAATTTGGCTTAATGGCTAAATCACATGGAGGCTGATCCAGCTCCCAAGAAAGTCAGTGGAGTGAGTCCTGAAAACAGAGAAGCTTTAGTTCTGCTCCCTGGAGCTCAATTTACTGAAGCAATCTCTCAGGGCACAGTGTAACAGCTACAGGGTGGGAGTTAAGCACGTGTCTTGGATCGGACTACAACTGCAGAGGACCAACCACACCATTACTTAAGGATTTCTGCTGTACTATAACCAGACAGAGCTACAGCTAAATTTCCCGAGCCCCAGACACTTACTATATCCTCACTGCATTGCCAGCCTGCTTGTTATAAAGCTTGTGTTAGCACTTTTTGGTTACAGTTCTATCAAATCCCAGGCCACTCATGCCTCTCTTGCCCTTGCATGTGTTTTTAAAAGTATTATGATTCTTCCTAATCCTGGGCTTTGTTCCTTTAGAAAAACACAGCAATTTGATCCCTCTCAGTGAATGTCATGGGACTGAGTTCACTCCAACTCAGCTTTAAACAACTGATGCTCATAACATCTGGCCCATGTGGGTAGTAGCTGTGCTGGGGAATGTGAATGCTACCAGTTATCACAGGTAAGCATGGTGCTACTCAGCCCCCTGCAGCTCCCACTATCAATGTCCCATGAAGGTAACCATAGCTTCAGCTGCTAAATGGCTCTCCCACTCTCCCCCTTTGCTGCCTGGATGGGGAGACAGCAGAGGGAATTGGAGAATTCCTCTCTAGCTGGGCTCAGGTCAAGGTAAAGCGTAACAGACCCCACATGAAGTTCTGAGGGCAGGGTATGATCAGTGGCCATGCCACTTAGGTTGAAAACACCTCTAATGGAAAGGCTTAAAGCCCCTTCCCATAAGCCCAAGTTCTCTTCCAATTCTTTTCTTGCAAGAACAGGAACGGGAAGAGAATTAATGGGGAATTCCTATGTGGTCAATTAGCCAGACCCCCTTCCAGGCTTCTCTGGCAGTGGCTTGAGTGACTGATGATTGAGGCCTGCCATATGCTGACTGGGTAAACAGCACGAAAGGACTGACTGCCACAGTCTGCCAGACAGGGCAACAGATAAGGAACAGGGAGGAAATAAAAGAGGGTAATGGAGACCAACTGGAAGAAAAAGACAGATGGAAGGAAAGGACATATTGAGATAACAGCCAAAGACAAACAAACAAGGGCAATAAAGCTAGGAGCCACCACCACAAGGACTCCGACATGGAGTGAAGGGTGATGGGGTCAGAACCGCCTGCAAGATAAAAGACTTCTGGTCCCTTCCTGTCCCTCTCAGCTCCTTCTGAGAACCATGGGGAGCAGAGACAATCTTCTCTTCTGCCACCAGAGATCCTCAGAGTTCAAGGAGAACTTTCTCATGAGTGAGGGAACACGACAAAAGTCTGCCTAGAAATCAGAAGACATCAATTGGAAACACTGTCTGGGAAAGTGGGGCAAGGCTGTATGTGGGATGGCACCCGGTGGCTACTCAGCAATGCTCACTGCCTTGTCTTCAGTACTCCTTTCTTTCAGCATCAGCTTTTAGGAGTATGGAGTTACACATTCACCTTCCTACTTCCAAAACCAGAATCTCAGAAGTGAAAACTTAGCATTTAGGAATGCAGGACTAGATGGGACCTCCTCAGTTATTAAGTATGATGTCTTGCTATTGTAGGCACTGCTTCAAATAATATTTTCCTTAAATGTATAGAGTGCTCTTTTAAAAGCAATTAGATTTTCAGCCACTATTATTCTGATCACTATTCCAAAGATAAAGTATCTTTTTCTAATTTCCAGCCTAAATGTGTTCACTTTATGCCCATTTGCTATTGTGCCAAATTGGCCTTTTGCTTAAAAAGTAATTTTCCTTCCCTATTATTTCTCCCACGAACACAGTCATACCCTCTCTCAACTTTCACTTTGCTTCGCTAAACATGGCAAGCAATTCTAGCCCCCTTTCTTAAAGAAAGATTCCTATCCCTTGGGTCAACCATAACAAGCCTTTTCTAGTCTGAGGTCATTTTGCTTGGGAATATGAGAACATACAGTATTTTGGGACCTCACAAGAGCTTAACACAATGGCATTAGTATTCCCTCATGCTTTATGAAAAGACTTTCCCTAGTACATTATAGGATATTTACCACCTTCTGAGCCACATTACATCTGCAGTCATCTGCAGCTGACTGCTGCGCCCAATTCTTTTCTACTCGTTTCCTAATGACTAAAATGTTTTTCATACAAGACCTCAAATGATGGTCTTAATGTAGTTTTATTGGATGTCATTAGCTGCTGTACAAAATTTGGATTCTCTTCTGTGTTCGTAATACCTGCCAACTTTGCATCATCAGCAAATTTCACCAGCCCATTCCTAATTCTTGTGTTGAGGCTGAGAAACAAAAATACTAAGTGTTGGTCTTGAGGCAAGTCCTTGAAGAACTGTGCTAATTAAGCTGTCAAGATCAAGATATGTCCTTTCACACAACTTACTGACATCTTTCCTTGAACCAGTTTCTTGTCTACCTCATAGCTGCTGCATTTTTCTTTATCCTTCCCAATTTAACCAACTGTTTCCCACATGGAAATATATAAAATGTCTCCCAGAAGTTCAGATAAAAGACACCTATCAGATCTATTTTGCATTTTAGGAAATCAGTGATGTTCTAAATGACTGTGTGATCAATCTTTGAGAAATTCTTCTCAAATTATTTCCCATTTTGCCTCATCCTCTGAGATATCCTTTCCCTCAGGTCCTCCTCTAAATGCTGCCAAGGTCACACTGCCTGTGCTGCCAGGTGCCAGCTCTTTCAGAATGCCAGGAAAGTAAGTGGGCACTCCTCGTGACTTGAGCACTTTATGTTACCTGAGTTTTGCTTCCACCTTGGTTGTGATAAATTTCCATTTCCAGTCTTTCTCCTTTACTCTCATGCTAATATATTTCTAAGAGCCAAGAGGAAAGGTGTTTGCCTTGTACTGGCCAAATACCGCCCTGACCAGACAACCCTGGAAACTGTAGCAGTGCCATCTCAGAGGCACCTCAGGTCTCATCTCTACCCAGATCCTTTCATATTCATCTCCTTTCCCAATCCTGGCATCTCCATTCCTCACTACCCCCAAATCCTCATCCACTCAATCCATCCCAAAGCCCCACTCCCATTTACTCCAGAGCCCTCCGTTCTCCCAACCCTTTGCTACTCAGCTTCTCTTCTTCTACCTGAGTGAAGAGTACAGCTGCCCCCTCATGCATTCCTCATTCCCACAGGGTGCCAGCACCATTGGCCAATGCCTACTGTGACAGACCTTCCCTGCTCCTAGGGCACCCTGCCTGGCTTCTCCCAAAGAGCACAGTCCCAGGGGGATTTAAAAATCTACACTACAAGCACTTACTCCCCTCAGCAGAAATGTTGAGGACAGAAAAAGACATCACTGTGCAGCAGATATATGGTACTCCTCCCCATGAGTAATGCCCCCCATTCCAACTTGAAGCCCCAGGTAAAGCATTCACTTACTTTAGGGACCAAAATTACTCCATCTTTAGACAGTCCCATCCTCATTGACTAGCCATCTCCTTTCTTCCAATCTACTCCAATTTGCAAAGTTTAAAAAAATTTTACTGTTTATTTTACTACCCATTGCAAGGTCTGACTCAGCATGATTCTTTACTGTTCTCACTTCATCTTTACACTTCTTGACCTCTAAGACAGAGCTTTTCATTATTTATTTGCTATCAGTTCTTTTTTTTCCCATTCTTACTAGGCTCTCAGTCTATTCCTAACAGCTTCTCTGGGGTAGTTATTCATTCAGTGAGGTCTGGATATTCTTCCTACAAGCTTTTTCCTCTTGCTTGGCATGCTGAATTGTAATGGCTTTAGCATCTTGGACTTGAAAAAGTTCCAGACCTCCTCCACATTGAGTTCCTCAGCTGAGTTTACTAACTGGCTCCCTTAGTTTATCAGTGTTTGTTCTTTGAAATCCACAAGCTTAATTACACACTGGTTTATACTTGCATTTAATTTAATCTAAAATGACTTGTGTTCATTTAATATAAGGTTATTTTCTACAGCCATCTGTTCCACAGACTACAAAAAAAAAGCGTGAAATAACATTGTTTTTTGCTGGCCCCCTTGGAAAGCTTTTGACCAGGTCCTGTGTTAACTGGAGACACAGAAATCGCCTTGAGAGCTTGTCCGTGGAGTCCAAAGAAGCATGGGCACTGTAGCATTCCAAGAACAATTTAAACAACTTTCTGCACTGTAGTAAAGGCAGGACATAACTGGTTTTAGCTCTGTCCTTAAAGCAGGACAAAGCTTTCTTTCATCTAAAACCATATCCTCATCTGAAATCACAACTCAGTGAGATTCTTGCCCATATAACAAGAATAACAAGACAGGGTGGTGTTTTACGTATGCTGTGGAGCAAGTATCTTCTGACTCGATCTTCTAATACAGATGTTACTACAGTTCAGCTGGCACCTCAAACTGTTGGCTATATTCTGTCTCTGGATCCCTCAAGGCAATAGGACTGGCTCTTAAAAAGTCTCATAACATATTCCCTCTGTATTTTAGGCAGAGTATTTATTTGTAGTAATCCAAGTTCATGACTCCATACATATAAGATGTTCAAAGCATGTAATGCAGAGAAGAATGTAATTTTCAGGCTACTACTTTGTGGAGGAATGACACCTCTGCCCCCATTTCTAAGCAAATGCAGACCCTCTGCCCTTTCAAGACAAAAAACCCAACCACAAACCAAGACCTACTGAGTTCTACAGCTTTTAAGTCCACAGTTTTCCACCTACTGCAAATTTACCCCAATTTGGTTTTGCAAAAAAACCCATGGATTATGTGCAATGCTTCAACCTAACAAGCTGATTTCACAATCAAAAAAATTGAGCAAATATTCTTTGGTGGCAAAATGAAGCCCAAATTGCATGCAGAAAATACAGACATACATGGGAAAGGGAAAGATAATGCAGTAACAATTAGAAGTAAGAAATGGGAGAAAATTGATAAGGAAACTAAAGATATCAGTTAAGAATGTACAGAAGAGCAAGGCTAAGTACACTTGATAGGATCTTTTAATATGCATTAGAAATAACATTAACCATAGAAAAGCTCACTACTAGGGAAGAATGATAAAAATTTTAAACACCCTGTGGAAAAGGCACAAATGTTCAAGTAAGTATTCCTGTTCTATATTTGGAAAGAGGCAGGATTATATAGTTGTACTGCATATGATCAATGCCACACCTTCCAATCACAGAGGAATTGTGTAAAAAGCAAGTATGCATACAATAAATGCATACAAAGGGGGCAACTTCACCTATGTTTACAGCATCAGTGAGACCAGTACCAGAGCCCTGCATGTCATTTTGGTACCCAGTTTCTTAAAGAATATGGAAAAACTGGAAAGGGTACACTAAAGTGACATAAAAATGACTTGATGGCCAGTAAGAACCTCTGAAAGTGAGAGTCTTCAGTGCTCAATCTAGTTTGTCAGGAAAGAGTGGTGAATAAATTACAGCAGAAAATACTTCTCTGCAGAGGAAACTGATTACAAAGAGGCTTTTGGATCTAGCTGTAAAAGTCAGAAAAAGAATTGATTGGAAGCTGATGCCTGATAAATTCAAATGATAATGAGGTACAGTGTTGAAAGAGGGTGATTAATGATGGTAGCATGCTACAAAGGGAAGCAATCCATTCACCATCCCTAGGGGTTTCCAGATCAAAACTGAGTATCTTCTCAGAAAATGTCTGTCACCTAGATGCAAATTATTTATTTTGTCAATACCAAATAAGTTTCAGAGATAGCCAGGTAGCCTGATTCAATATTTGCTTCTGGCCTTACATTCCCAAAAATCTGAATGATGGTAGTAGAAGAGAACCTCACATGCCAACAGATTCTTCTTTTACCACCAGCCTGTCACTTTGGCAGCTCTGAGTAGCCAGTTTCTGAGATGTAAACCTTGAAAGTGGGCCATGACAGCACCTAGTTTGTTTGGAAAGGGCTTACATGTCTGCACACGTGTGCCATACAGTACCTCAACAAACTCAAAAACTCACTGGCTTTAGCAATAGAAGCCTGCCATTAAAGCTGGAATATAATACTGTCAATATTGTGTGTGTTGACAAAAATGAAGAAAATGTGACCATACACTGTTACTGGGACATCACTGGATTATACCTCGTCAAACCACCAAGTAATGGGGTATCTAGCTATCTCAAGCCTTCTGAATCAGTCTCAAGAGGAAAGGGTAAGCATTCAACTTACCCTGCGACCAGCCTCATTGTTCTGCAAGTTCATCAGCATGCGAGCCTGCTCCTCTGAACCTCTCACATAGTTCTTCTCCCTCTCCTTGGCATCCACAAACTCCTTGGCAAAACGATATCCATACTCCACGTTATCCCCGCAGCCACCCCACAGCCAGTCTCGGGGCAAGTCCTTGGGCCGGGCCGTCCGGCTGCAGCCACAGCTGGAGAGCTCTCCTTCACGGCAAGCCCGGCTGATTGCATTCACCACCCCGGCAGCACTGACAGCATAGGTGAAAGCAGTCTCTCGGCTCCCTGTGAGAGAGAAGTGAGAAGCAAATTAACAAAAGACAGATCTTGTTTAACAAACGCAACGCGCAGTAAGGAGCAAGCAAATGGGCTCCAGACAGTAGGTCACGGTGTGCTGAGAAGGTGCACAGAATTAATTGGAACAAAAGAATGGGGTAGGCAAGCGCAAGAGCACCACCTCTGCTCTGGTAGAGGGGGAACAGTCCTAACTCATGCCTGCATCCCGGTTTTGCTTTCATTTCACAGTAACAGCTCCAGTCAATTGTCTGGAGCTGGCAGTTTCTTTGTAACCAGGATCAAACCCAAATCAGATTCTCTGACACACACCAAGGAACAGTCTGAGATTCCTGATGTTGCCTGGAGGAATGCTATTGGGAAGAGCATGTACTTCATGAATTTGTAGGTGCCGCTCCTCAAGGGTCACTATTTTTATTACACCTATGTTTGCCCATTTAAGAGCCCTGGAAACTCCAGGACTTCCCCCCCAAAAATAGCAACACTACAGGCAGGGACTGTTCTGCCTCTTTCCCCTTCAGTATCCTCTACTTTTAATGTGGAGAAAACTCATGCAGCAAGAGGGGGTTATTCACTTGCTGAAAATACAGCTGCTGCCTTAGCCACTGAATTTTCAGTAATCATTGGGAACAACTAATGAAGTTGGGTCTGTGCAAAAGGAGTGTTCCAGCTAAGCCAGATATCACTCTGGAATGGTTTTCATTCAGTTGAGACAAGCATTGTTTTATGGGCTCCTCAGTTCATCAACCTTATTTTCATTTACATAAGGCCAGCTGAGAATTGTTTTGAAACAAACTGAAGGTAACCCATTTTTACACTAAAGCATCAAGGCAGAGGCTGTCCCAATGCCTACAGAACCGCACTGCTGGAGCAAGTAAAACTTTCCCATGTAGACAATAATAAATGAAAAGACTTTCCATTAGCAGGTTTACTAGAGACTGCTGTGCCTGGAGTGTATGCTCCATACAGCTCAGAGTCTGAGCCAAGCAGATGGATCAGGTCTCCAGCTCTGTATTCCTGGCAGTGATTCAGCCCCAATTTGACCGGGGCACCAACACAGCCAGAACACTGCATGAGGCCAAGTGTGCTACACCAGCGAGTGCTGTGGGTCTGAAG